ATCATTGTCGCAGTACTTTAGTTATAGTTCCCAACTTCTCCTGTCCAAGTTCTAGCAGGAAGCGCTGTAGGTAAATCCCCTCCTTTATGGCTTCTGACATTGCCGTAAACTCGGCTACTGCCGTAGACAAAGCGTCCGTTTTCTGTTTTCGACTATCCCAGGAGATCAAACTTTTCCCGAGACTGAAGGCGAATCCGGTGAAAAATTGCGGTCAGTTCCGTTATTTCCCCATTCCGCATCCACGTATCCCATGAGGTCTTCCTGAGAATTTCCGTAGGTGACGCCATAGCTTAGGACCCCTTCAGATAACGGAGCACACGCTTCGCGGCTGTCCAATGTATGTTGGTATAACAATTATTAAACTGACCGAGATAGTGTAATTGTGGGGATTGGGAGGGTTGCGTAGGAAACGACTTAGGGTGATTTGCAGCAGGACTTACCTAGGCAGAGGCAGATCAGGCTGAACGACATCTTCTCGCTCTCGTACCAGACCCTTTTTGCTGACGAATCAGTCTTCCCCTCCACCCCTGCAAGGCTCGTCCCTTTCTTGATTTATACTATTTATACAATTAATAATTAATAACTACAGGATTACAGGTGTTCCTTATCACTGTCAACTTCAAAAGTACTCACGCCTTTTTTTTTTTCTATATGCCTAGGGATAACATTACACTAGTAACACTGAATCACTCTATCACACAACACTCCGTGCAGAGTCCTCTCCCACCGGCGATCCGCCCCCGCTTGGCCGCTGCAGAGGGGACGGCCATCGGAATCGCAGCTCGGGCTGCTCCTCGCTCGAAACAGAGGGACGACGTCTCCGGCACCAGCACAATATTCCAAGTCCCAGCGGCGTTAGTATCACAATCATGAGAGTGGTCCCGCTGATGCCCCACCGTCGGCGTTGTAGGCGCTAGCCTGGGCTGCCGCAAGGGCCTCTAGCTGCACTTCCCATGTCCCATCCGATGATGGTACTGCGTCGCCTTCCCTCTGCCTCTCGCAGCGCTGACGGGGCTGTCTTTCCAGAAAGGTCACGTATCTCCGTAGCGCTGACGAGAGAGTGAAATACGGTGATCATGGTGGCACCGCCCGTGATTCGTGTAGTTCCCCATCCTCCCCAAGACAATGTTCGTCCCTCGACCATAATCTGGCAACCTCGAGTGATTTCGATCACCATGAAAAGGTCACCTGGGTTGAATTGATGGCCCTGCCGTTTATGAATCTTAACTGCCCCACCACAGGGGCAGACAGTACGCTGTACACCCACGCATTCGATAGAGGATAGAGGATCCATGGCGGTGGTACCTCCGATCACATTTCTCCGCCTTCCTGAGAAATAATCCACTTGAGCAGGAGCCGGGGTCTCTCGGCAGTAGCGGTGACGTGGGCGGACACACCACAAAACGGCGTCCGCGACACATGGGCACTTTCCTTAATACTTTAATCCGGGGCCCGAGATTCCAACAGCCGTGACACGCCTAACCTAAGTGCCATCGTTAGGCCCGATGTGTTGTCCTTCACTGGTACTTCCTTCACACCGTACGTGTCAAAGTGGTGCTCTAACTGGGCGATGGGCAGATGAATATAGATACGTGCGCCGGTGCTGGAGGTTACGACGTCGACTTGCGAGACCTGCATCAGATAGCTCAACGAGGGCCCCACTGCAAAAGCAAATCCTTCGGGAAAATGTGGTTTCAAGGATTTCAGGGTACGGGAAAGGGATCTGAAGGAAAGAAAAGGGACGTGTGCACCCTCCCGAGTTGCGCCTCTGCTAGCCCTAAAGTTTTGTCCTTAAGGACGCTAACGGTGTGTGATAGGTGTGTGACTCTAGTTCGCGGAACCGCGTAACTATCCTTTCGCGAACTCTAGATCTCGTCTCAATTCCGTAAGGCCTTCTTTCTTTATACTGCTCCTAAAGCCGTTTCCGGCTCTTTAGAGTATATTGGCTTTCAGCTTTGTGTTGCTCTTTTATTATAGACGGAAGCTGGTAGAACTTAGGGGTCAGAATGAGATGGCATTTGAAAAAAAAAATTAAATATAGTATAAATAAATTTAAATATAATATAATAGAAATAAATAATAATTATAATGTACATAATGTTACCTTTGATAGTAACTCGCAGGCTGACGCTCAGTGGAGAAGGGGGGATTCTCGGGAAACCACCCTAACCATCCCTAACCACTACTAAAGCCGGGCGCCATACTATTTGGTTCAGGGAAAATAGTGAATCCCTAAGGGGCGAAGGAAGAAAGAAAAAAAAGAAAAAGACAAAAAAAATTCCACGTGCTGAAAGTGACCCCCTCGAACCGCGTCCCTTCTAGTTTAAAAGCGAGTGCGGTTCCCCTGCGATTCAAACATTAAATTCGGTAGACAGACATTCGCCAGGGGTCAACACACAAAAAAAAAAATTCTATTAATTACAATTGCATTTACAATAAATTTCTTCGCGAAGGCCTCGCAAACAAAATTAAATTCACAATACTTGTAGTATCTTCTCCAAAAAAAAAGAAACTCTTAACAACAACAAAATAAAAAAAAATAACTGTTTTCAAACGTTGGACTTCTCTGGAGGTCTCGAATCGCCGTCTGTCCTCCTAGCTTCTTCCCAGAGGCAGGTCCTGTTCCCAGAGTAGGATGACCGTATCCCTCGCTGGAAAAATGAAAAGGATCGCCCTTGTTCGTCCGATTTTCCTCCTTTTTCCGTACTTTTCTCTCCTCTCGGTCCAAACACTCGCCTTGCCTGCTTCCGCCTGCTTCCTCCCGTCTCAGCTGCCGATCCAGGCGTCAAACCCTACTGCACGGCTTCCGTCTTCCTCTCCTAGGTCGGCAATGGTCCCTTCCACGTTAGGGGTACCCCTTACAAAAAAAAAAACAAAAAAAAATGGAATTTTTCCGACCCCCTAACGTCGACTATTTTGACTGGAATCCCGACATCGGGGCGGTGAACAGTCGCGGCGTAACATTCCCCTCTTTCCTCGGGAGGAAAGGGGGGTACTTTTTTTCTGTATCTTTTTACTCATTTCATTCTTAACTCCCTGACCTAGGTATCCTGTCACTGCGTGGGGATTGAAATGTTCTCTGGAGGTTCCCAGTCGGTCGAGGGATGGGGTTTTAAGTCTTTAATCTTCCAGTCACCCATATCTTTGCCGGTTAAATCCTCCAATTGGTACACCAGCGGCCCTTTTTTTTGTTTTACCCTACACTTCTGGAACAATGGCGCCAGCTTCCCAGCTTTGTAGTTTGTTGCGTCCGATAGCGCAAACGTCTTCCTCCAGACGACGTCTCCAATTTCCAGGTCCTTGTCTCCTCCTCAGATTATACCGCTTACGGCAATTTCTCGTAGTCCTTGTCCAATCGGAGTTAGACGTCTTTGTAAACCTGGTTCAGATTCTTCAGTCTCCCAACCCATTCCGAATGGTCCTTAGTCTCTGCATGTAATTCTGCTAGTCCTGCTTCGTTCCCTTTCCTCTTCAATTCTCGACCAAAATTTAGGAACGCGAGCGAATATCCGTTAACTTCATGGACGGCCGTTTTTAAGGCGAATTCGAGATGGTTGAGATTAACGTCCCAGTGCCGGTGATTGTCTTTTAGGTACGAGGATATCGTTTTTATCACGCGATTCACCCTCTCTACTGGGTTCGCTTGAGGGTGATATTTCGGAGTGTACCACACTTTTATACCATAACGTCTGGCCATCTGTTGGAATTCCTTACTCCGGAATTGGACACCGTTGTCACAAATAACGACTTCCGGGGCTCCAAACATTAAGATCGCCTCATTCTCAACTACCGACGCGACATTCTTAGCGGAGTCCGTCCTAAGAGGGTGCATGATTGTGTACTTGGTAAAGGTATCGTTGATGGTGATTATGTACTTCTTTTGTGAGGAACTGGGTGGGAGCGGCCCTATGATATCCACCGATACCATCTGCCACGGGCAACTGACCGCGCGGCGTCTACCCCCTAAAGTGGCGGTTCGCCGCATAGTAGGCTGCTCGGTGGTGATCAGGTCACGGCACTGCCGGTAGCGCCGTCTCGCGCGTTGAGAAGCCGCGTTCAGCTCTTTTACATGGGGCGTCCATCACGCAAGACCGGTGCGAGTAGTTGCATTCTGGCTTAACCTCTCGGCATTAATGACTAGGATGGTTGTCATGATGGCAATTTTGGTTTCAATTTCCGAGGTGTGCGCCGCAGGCTATAGCAGGGTGTCTTCGTTCTCCAATAGGTCTACCTTAACCATGAGTGTGAGCTTGTCTTCATCGATATTTGCGAAATCCGGGCGTCGTCTCATCCTCACGAACCCATGATCTTCTAGAGCACTCAGGTCGGCCCGGATCCACGCATGATCACTCGATGTGGCGTTCCTTTCAATATTAAAGAGTGCCAATCGACGGTACAGCTGTGGCGACATCATGAGGAGGTCGATCACTGTATCACCCTGAGCCGAGAAGTACGTCTTCGGTGTTGATTAGGTGTACACGTGTCGCGCTGAGGATTTCAAGGACGCCGGTCTAGCTGAGCGTCGCCCCAAGGAGGGCTGTGTGCTTTGAAGTCACCTCCAAGTATACAGCTCTTTGAGCTATCCTTGTCTATCACCCGTAGGATCGTAGCTATGTCTTCGTCTATCGGACGCCGCCTATCACAGTAAGAAGAGAGAACCAGGAGTTCTTCCCCTCCCCACCGGAGGAGGCAACAAGCCATATCGGCGGTGCATTCCGGCAGAGCAGCCGCCCAAATGTTGTTGTTCAGAATATAGATGGCACCTCGCTGGGCGCAGCCATTCTCGATGCTACGACCCTCGCGTTTACGCCCGTGGCTTTATAAACTCCTCCTTTCCATGGCTCTTGAGCCAGAACGATGTCGATTCTTTTTCTCAAAGGCGAGGACGCGGGCCTCATCTCTTACGGTTTGCGAGCCATGGTAGTTGTGTTGCTACCGAATCTTGAGGGTATTTGTACTAGCAGTTAGCATCGGGCTCCTTCGACGGTTCTTCTGCCAAAATTTGTACATCGTCAGGTCAACGCACGTTTCTATATGGCCGGAGGGTTTGTTTTGCTGGAATTGCGCAGGGGTAGCAGTCAAGGCCGTATCTCCATAGTCCACCGTTCTTCACCTTTATCACTGCTCTGATGTGCGCCTCGCACTCCCTTGAGCCAGGTGCGTGGGATGGGTCTCTGCCCAGAGGGATGCAATTCGCGCATTTTAAGGTTTCCGCATTGCAGTCCCTCGTATCGTGCGCAAGTGCACATCGGTCACACACTGGTTCTTTCTTCGGGCAGCTAGGGGCTCCGTGGCCGTAACATTGGCATTTGAAACATCTCGTTATGCCCACGTAGTCCCGGACTGTGCAGGACTGATAGTCAAAGTAGATTTTTTTGCCTACCAACCACCGCGTTTCTGACTTCTGGTGGGACCTCAACCACCCACGAGACGAAGGTGCTATTTTGCCATGTCTGACGGTGTGCAATGGTCTAATGTAATGTTTGTGTTCCTCCAGTGCATTATTGGCCACGATTTCTTCTCTCAGTTCGTTTACCTTTGTGTCTTTAGGGACGCGAAGAACTAGGATCCGTGGGCTTCTTTTGCCCATGTGGCGCGGCTTAAGTTGGGTGTCGCTCAGGACCATCAGGACCGCTGATTTTGATGCCTCCTGGTCAACTTTCATTGCCACTCCGCCTCTGGCTGTTGACCGAATGCCGTCTAGGCGGATCTTTGTGAACCTAGGGTTTAGGTGTTCCTTGACCTTATTAAGGAGGTCGCGGGATTCCATTCCCTCTGGTAGGTCCACGATGATAAGCTTTCGCTGCTGTTCCTTAGCTTTTAAGATGGTCTCGTTTGATATTATTCGATCAGGAAGCTTAGCTTTCTCGATTTTTGCACGGTGGTTGCCCTGAGTCATTGGAGCGCCTCCCTCAGTAGCTTCATCGCTGGTTGTTTTGTTCCTACGACGACGGTTTGGTTTAGCAAGAACCCAAGCGTTTTTGGCATCACCTTTACCTGCGGCTAGTTGGCTATGCTCCTCGATGGGTGGGTTGCCCGTTGCGGAATCAAGTTTCTTAATCTTGTCTATACATGTGGTCAGCTCACTTACAATTGCTTTGATGGGTGAGACACTCGACGGGCTTTTTGCTGTGTGGAGTTCAGCAGCTATCCTGTCAAAGGCCTGTGCCGAAGACAAGGCCGCTTTTATGGCGTCTATTTGAGCCTCAGAGGTCAGGTTTCTTTTGCTTACCTCTCTGAGCTGAGCGTTTTCAATGGCGAGGTGCTGTAGTCTGCTAACTATGTGATCGACGCGTTCACACACAAACATTGCCTCGGGCTTGGGGCATTTGCTGCCAGGATCCATAATGTATTGGGAAATTTCCGTATGAAAATGTAAGGCTTCTGCGCACGCTGTCATGCTGCCGTTGTTACGGTCGAAACTTCGGCTGGTCCCGTCGCTCAGTGGAGAAGGGGGTGGGTGAAGGAGAGAGGTAGGGAATTGTTGAGTGCCACGGTATTTTTGGGAAGGGTAAATACCGAAACCCTAAGGGAAGAAAAGAAATAGAAGTAAAGGGAGGAAGATGAGAAAAAAATGAGACCAAAGAGGAAAAAAATAACTAACGGAGTTTGGAATTGAACCCACAACTTTCGAGGCCCAAGTCGGCGATCGTAACCACTAGACCAAAGGCTCCGACTGAGCCACGCCGGCTCACCGCCTTGCGTCTGGGATCGCCACGAAAACCCGGGGCCCAAATCCATTCTCCGGACAGATAGAGATAGAGGTAGAGAAAGATAAAAACAGGTTAACTAACCGTCTGTGCCTTTGTTTTGCCGCTTCTAAGCCTTATCTGGCTCCTTGCAGCTTCTTGGCTTGCGCTGCTATATAGCTTTTGTATTATAGACGGAAGCTATTATCTTTCTTTGTCTATTAGACGGTCGCATCTCTACTCCACCTGGCGAACTCTTTGTCACAGTTTAGTGTACTGCGTCTGGGATGGGCCTCGCGGAGGCGGCTCGCTCGGGATATTCAGGTGGAGGAGGTATAGGCTTGCATGATTCCTTATCTTTTGCTGTATTATGTCTTCGTTTGTTGTATTATGTCTGTATGTATGTATGTGTGTATCCTGTCTGTATATGTATGTATGCTATGCTAGTCTTCGCAGCTATCGATGGGTTTGTAAGTCGTCGTACTCTCTTTCTTGGATAGCTGCGGTAGTTCCAGGTAGGCTGTTCATCCTACGCTGATTACGCCATCATCGTCCGTCTGCATCGACTGAGGTACGGGTACCTTACCGTAGTCAGTGGCACATTTCGCGTTTGCCACTGCTCTAATTTGTGCTTCGCAATATTGCGAGCCCGCTCGATGGCCACTGCGTCTTCCCGCCCGGTGGCAGTTAGCGCATTTTAGCGTGCTGCTTTGGCAGTTTCTTGTGTCGTGCTGCCCAGCGCAGTTTCCGCAAATCGGATCCTTTTTCGGGCACGCCGCGGCCACGTGTCCGTACGCCTGGCAGTTGTAGCATCGTGTCACTCCCTGATATTCCTTCACCGCGCAGGTCTGGTAATCCAAGTTGACCCGACCTCGGCTGAGAGCTGCTTTCCAGGTTGGCGGGTCTACCTCTACCACCCACGAGACGAACTGGGAATCTTTCCTGCTGGCTCCTCCATAACGTAACGTGTAGAGGGGCCGAATTGCATTCTTGGTCCAGCCTGGGTTGTTGTCCGCTAGCTGGGCTGTCAGCTCCTCCGGTTTGTCTTCCTTTGGTACCCGAAGTATCAGAAGTCTCGGGTTTCTTTTCCCAACCGTATGAGCCTTAAGGCCGACTTGGTCGAACTTGAGTCTATCTAAGATGGCTCGGCAGTCGGCGCTCGTCGCAGCTCTTATTGCGACGCCGCCCTTGGCAGTCACTCTCATATCATCAATTCTGACCTTCGTCTCCCTTGGGTTGATGGCCNAAGGCGCCGACTGAGCCACGCCGGCTCACCGCCTTGCGTCTGGGATCGCCACGAAAACCCGGGGCCCAAATCCATTCTCCGGACAGATAGAGGTAGAGAAAGATAAAAACAACAATATTAATCGCCGGTGCCCTACCTGTGCCTCCCACAACGGGTGCAGTGAACAACAAGAAAAAACTAGACCATTTGGCCTCCGCCGAATAAAAGGTTTACAACAAACATCAAAAGACCGCTCGACTTTATACTATATTAAACTAGAATCTCTTACATCGGAAATAATCTTATAAATAAATGACAATTAACCTACTTAGCAACTAAATCTCAACTCTTTAACTTAAAATGACTCACTACTTAATAAAACAAAGAAAATTTTAAACTTAGCGTAAGAATTTTGTCTTATAACTAAACTTAATCTACAAAAGTTATTAATCAAATTTATAAAAGTCAATCGGCCGTTTCGGCGAATTCACGTCGGGGCCCTGGCGCAACGTCGTCCTCATCCGGGAGCAGCCTCAGTCGGGGGAAAATGATTCGTACTCGTAGAACCACAAATCCTCTTGCGAGTTCTCTTCTCCATCACTCTGACCAGGGGAAGATGCCAGGTAATGAGGACGAACAATCCGCAGCAGCGTGAATTTCCTCTTTTCTTTGGCCGCTCGTCCCTCGCACGGCGGACACGTCTCTCCGGGCCGAGGGCCCTTAACCTTCTGCACCTTCTGCTCTCGGTCGCGTTCCAGGCTTCGACGCCCACGCTCGTGCTGCCGTCTGACGCTCTCATCTTCCACGCCAAAATTCAAATTTACTCAACTTAAAACTAAGGCACAGGCAAGACACCAGAAAATCCATTATTATTATTTTTTCATTTAAAAAAACGTAATAGCGTTTCGTGTCTGGGTTAACTCTTCTTTCGAGGTAGCTTCGCGCAAGCGTTTAGGGCGCTTACCCGTCACATATGAGTACGATTGCCCAGTCATGCTTGCCGCAGGGGAGAGCACCGCATCAGTATTTCTTTCGGGGTCGGTGCATAGTAGGCTTCCTGCCGTTGAGGTAGAGGCGAAGCTAGTTTGGCTGAGCGCTCGCGGAGTGACTGTGCCATAAACGTTTCTATCACTACCTCGGGGCGGGGGGCACTTAAGGCTAGATGGACTAGCGAACGGGTCAGTTTTTCTTTGCCTATTACCGGTGCCCGGAGGTGCTGCTTGTCTTGATCCCATTGGAGGAGAAATTCCTCTAACTACAACTCTTTTTGGAGGACTAGCCGAGGCAGTGGTTTTTGACATGCTGGTACATAGCTTTGTGCTCGTATTTGTCAGGCTGGTCTTGGAATTTTCGTGAGGTTTTTTTGGGTTTTTTTGAGGGGTGTTTTTATTTTTTGTATCCATAAGAATATGAGGTGCGAGGGTTAACTAACAGTCACCGACAGGTTAACTAACCGTCTGTGCCTTTGTTTTGCCGCTTCTAAGCCATATCTGGCTCCTTGCAGCTTCTTGGCTTGCGCTGCTATATAGCTTTTGNACCAATCGAAACAGATGAATCAACTGCAGAATGGATAGTTAAAGCAGCTTGCTGTTTGCATAACTACATTATGATAAAGAATGATGGAGAACAACATTCAAGTAATGAGGAAATGGAAGAAGTCTCAGGGCCTATGAAAGCTTTGGAACGAACATTGCCTACCAATCGAAGATCAACAGCTACAGCAATTCAAATCCGTGAACAGTTTGCTGATTATTTTGCTGCTCGATAATAAATTATTTTTATATTTAAATTAGGTAACACAGTAATGTATTTTAACAAACTGTTGAAACACCATTGTTTTGAAGTGTAGAAAAGAAGATATTTGTACTTACTAGTTATATTCAGCTCTTGTCCAATCATGGCCCATGTTTCTGCCTTTTTCACGACATTTTTGTAGTGGTGGTGTGATGTGTCGTACAAATACACGTATTTTCTCACTTTTTCTATGAAAATTTCAGTTATTTCATCTCCCATCTTGAAACTGGATCGCCGGATCGCGTAATGTTTTTTGTAATTTTGCACAGGTATATCGCCTGTCGCCGCGATCAAGACTGGATCGCTGTGATAGGTCGCCCTGTGTGTGACAGGGATGATGCAATATTTCATCATACAACCATATCGCCGGATCGCGGCGGTCAGTGATCGCTGCCCGCCGCGACAGATGGCGTTCTGTGTGCCAAGGCCTTAAGTCCTTCCGTTATCAAGTTACAGGATGTCAAGTGTCTTAGGAGTAATGAGGGTCTGAAGTAAGAATATATGTGGGGGGCCCTTCGGGGAAATTCAGTCGGGGAGACGAGTCAGGGGGAATTTCCCTCGAGTGGGAAGTGGGGCGAGGTAGGTTGGCCGGCCTGGCGGCGTCTGTGCCCCCGGCCTAGAAAAGTTACGGGGGGTTCTCAAGGCCACGGCCACGTGCTCCGAGCGTATCTGAAAAATATAATGTGATTACTCAATACCTTGACAGATTTTGACGTGCGATAGCTCGTTTTAAAGCTGGCGCAATTCCGGATCCAATGGTAATATCCGATGGACGGTAGGTTTGCTGCAACAGGTTCAATCAAGCTTCGGTGTCGGAGCGTTCCTCAAACACGTCTGCACTGCTTGAAGTCTCAGTCGCAACTACAGGTTAACTAACCGTCTGTGCCTTTTTGTTTGCCGCTCCTAAGCCATATCTGGCTCTTTGCAGCTTCTTGGCTTGCGCTGCTATATAGCTTTTTCTATTATAGACGGAAGCTATGATCGTTCTTTCTCCGTTAGACGGTCGCATCTCTACTCCACCTGGCGAGCTCTTTGTCACAGTTTAGTTCACTGCGTCCGGGATGGGCCTCGCGGAGGCGGCTCGCTCGGGATGTTCAGGTGGAGGAGGTATAGGCTTGTCTGATTTATTGTCAATTGCCGTATTATGTCGCCCATCCTTTCTGTCTCATTACCCTTTTCCACATCTTTTGCGTTGCGTGGAGTCCTGCCCGAGTGGCAATCGCTGTTCTTAAGGCGTCCATGGTCGCCGTCTGCTCGTTTATCTCGAAGAGCCAGCGTACACGGGGAACGACGTGGATTTCGCAACTGAGTAAAACGTGTTCCGCCGTTTCTTCTTCTTCGCCACAGTCGCACATCGGGCTAGGTTTGAGTCTAAAGGAATGGAGCTTCGCGGCAAAGTCTCCATGGCCTGTTAGTAGCTGAGACGTGTAGTGGTCAATGGTCAGATGCTTCATCTTTAGCCGTCTTTCTATGTTAGGGAGAAGCTGATACGTGTGACAACCTTTAGGAGAGCCGTCCCATCTCAGCTGCCATTCCCTCAGCATCCACTCATCAGCTTCGTCGGTGCTCGTGACTGGTATGCAGGTTGGGCGTCCATTATTTATCTCCCATTTGGCGCATAGAGCTTTTGCTTTTAGGTCGACAGGCGGTCGTCCAGCGATGACCTGTAGAGCCACTGTGGATACCGTCCTGTACGCCTGGGTAACAGCGAGCAGGGCTGCGCGTTGGGCTTGCTCAAGCACGGCCCAGTCGTTCGCCCGTTGTTCGCGAGTCCACGCCGGCGCCGCGTACAGTATTACAGACTCGCACAGCGCCGTGTAATAGACATGTCTCGTTTTGTACGAGGCTCCCCACGTGGCGCCGGATAAGGAGCGGATAGCCGCTATTCTCGTTGGCACCTTAGTTTTGGTGTTTAGGGCATTCGAACTAAACCTTAGGCCGGGTGTCATGCTCACTCCGAGGTACGAGAGGGCCCGGGGACTCTTTATGGTCACACCACCTATGCGAATCACTGGCGGTGACCGAATATTGAGCTTGCCCTTCAGCAACAAGAGTTCCGTTTTCTCCGAGGCCAGCTGCAATTTGTTTTTCTTGCACCAGCTTTCCAGCACGTTCACGGCGAGCGCGCCTTTTTGCTCCAGTTGTGCCTTCGTGTCCGCCTGGATGATGACAGCCAGGTCGTCAACGTAAGCAACGGGTGTGAGCCCTACTCCTCTCAATTCAGCTAGTGCATCATCGAAAAGCACCGCTCACAAATAGGGGCCAAGCACTGATCCTTGAGGGATTCCTTTTTGGACTGATCTTCGGCAGTCGCTACCGTAGTCACTAAGTGTTACCGTTCGCCCGCTCAGGTAACTGGCTACGAGGGCGCAGAGGTCGGGTTCGACCCCTCGGCGAGTCAGGCAGTTGAGCACAGCCGGCCACCACATGCGATCGAACGCCTTTTTGACGTCAAAGAAGACGCCGGCAACGTATTTGACCCGCGATGCCGCCGTCAACTCCGTGATGCATCGTATGGCGTGTGTGGTGCTACACCCGGGCATTCCACCGTATTGTCCTTGGTGGAGCCGCGTGTCGATTGCTGCGCGCAATCTGATTAACATCAGCTGCTCCAGCGTCTTCCCGAGTACAGAGAGGAGGGAGATAAGTCTGTAGGACGAGGGTTGATCCGCTGGTTTACCCGGCTTTAGGAAGGCGCAGACACGTGCTGTCTTCCACCCGTCGGGGAAATAGCCCAATTTTAGGCAGTCGGCCATGAGCTGGTGGATGTATGGCGCCACGACCCCGCAGCATTTCTTCACCACCGCAGCTTCCACACAGTCCTCGCCTGGAGCTCGACCCGTTCTCAGCTTGTGGATCGCTTGTAATATTTCGCTTTCGGTCCACTGCGGTGTATTTCCATATCTCGTGATGGCTCGGGCTGCGAGACGGAGCGTCACGTGGGAGTCTTCATCGGCCGACACGTCGTCTTCTGGGTAGGCCTCTTCTAAAAGTGCCCGGCCGGCCTCTTCAAGGCCTGATGACTCTCGGCCAAAGGGCTCCAAAGCTAGCCTGCTCGTGATCTTTCCTCGTGCGATCTTGGCATGGAGTCCCCACCTGTCGGTCGGGTCTTGCTCTTCGACGAATCTCTTCCACTGGCTTCTTTTGGATTTTCGCAGTTCTCGGCGGAAAATCCTCTTGGCCTGCCGAAACGCCATATGGAGGGTCTCTCTTTCTGTCGCTGATCGGCTCTGCTGATACAGCCGCCTAGCTCGTTGGGCCAGTTTTTTCCTTTCCGCCACTTCTTGTGTCCACCATGCGGGGTCTGATCGGGCCGAAGCACCACGGTCCAAATTCCCTGGACCATTTACTAAGCCCGTAGTGAGTACGGCGATCTTATTTTCTATTTCGCCAGTGGTATTGGCGGGCCACAATAGGGTACCTTCCTCTTGCAAAAGGTCTCCGCTGACAAGATGCCTTAGGTCCTGCGTCGATACGTTTGTGAGGCGTACTCGTTTATTTGGGTGGCTGCGGTGGCTCCGGGTGCGCGGCCGCAGGTCTGCCTGTATCCAAGCGTGGTCGCTCGTGGTGGCCCCACCGTCAATGTCGAAACGACTTACTCTGTAGTGGAGGGCCGGCGACATCATAAGGAGGTCGATCGCTGACTCTCCCTGTGATGCACAGTAGGTTACGGGAGAGTCCTCGCTATTCAGCAGGATAAGTCCCTGGTCCTCGGTGAAGTTTAGGATCGCTTCACCTCGGTTATCTAGGCGCGCGTCCCCCCATGCTGGGTGGTGCGCGTTAAAGTCACCTCCCAGGATGAAGTTTTTCCCTCTGTATTTAGTGATAAGACGTGAGAGTCTGGTGATATCTTCGTCGATATCCCTTCTCCTATCACAGTATACGATGCGACGATCATATCCTCGCCATTCCATCTTACCAAGCAGCAGGCCATGTCATCGTCAGACTCCGGTAGAGAGACCGTTTTAATGTGTTTGTTCAACACGTAGATTGCGGCTCTCGGTCGGATCTGTCGTCTGGTTCTGACTACCCTGGCAGCAAGGCCCATAGCTCCGTCTAAGCCGAGCTTCCATGGTTCCTGCGCCAAGAGGAGGTCAATTCCCAACTGCTGGGTTAGAACCCTTGCCTCAGCCTGGACTGTTTGTGAACTGTGACAGTTCAGCTGGGCTATTTTTAGGCATACGTTTTGGGTGCGGGTTGGGCTGTTCATCCTACGCTGATTGCGCCCTCATCGTCCATCCGCATGTTCTGAGGCGCGGGTGCCTCCCCGTAGTTGGTGGCACACTTTACATTTGCCACTGCCCTAATTTGCGCTTCGCAGTATTGTGAGCCCGCGCGATGGCTACTGCGTCTTCCCGCCCGGTGGCAGTTGGCGCATTTAGGCGTGTTGCTTTTGCAGCACCTTGTATCGTGCTGCCCTGCGCAATTTCCGCAAATCGGATCTTTTTTCGGGCACGCCGCGGCCACGTGTCCGTACGCCTGGCAGTTGTAACATCGTGTCACTCCCTGATATTCCTTCACCGCGCAGGTCTGGTAATCCAAGTTGACCCGACCTCGGCTGAGGGCTGCTTTCCAGGTTGGCGGGTCTACCTCTACCACCCACGAGACGAACTGGGAATCTTTCCTGCTTGCTCCTCCATAACGTAACGTGTAGAGGGGCCGAATTGCATCCTTGGTCCAGCCTGGGTTGTTGTCCGCTAGCTGGGCTGTCAGCTCCTCCGGTTTATCTTCCTTTGGTACCCGAAGTATCAGGAGTCTCGGGTTTCTTTTACCCACTGTATGAGCCTTAAGGCCGACTTGGTCGAACTTGAGGCTATCTAAGATGGCTTGGCAGTCGGCGCTCGTCGCAGCTCTTATTGCGACGCCGCCCTTGGCA